GTGGTGCCCCACACCTCTACTAGAGTTTTGGTCTTTTGTCCCTCAAACTGAAGCTGCTTGGTTTGCGTGAATGGGATCCGGCATTATTTGGATGGAGATCTGGGGGGAAGGGGGGAGGGTTGGTGGAGAGAACATCTCTGGATCCAACTGAACAGAAAACCCAGTGAGCACTTGTCCTTGGAGTGAGGTGACAGGTGCAATGACTCAGAGCAGCCTCTTCTCATTCAATTATGCAATGTGAGTCAAAGAGCTTTCAGGGGAAGACATGACTCACAGATAGATTCCAATTCTTTGAAGGAGTTGACAAGCATGTGGCAGAGGGTGATCTAGCTGATATAACGAACCAAGATACCCAAAATTCTTTTAATGAGATTTCTCACCCATGGCTCATGCAGAAAGTGAGCTGTCATTAAGTGGAAGGGCTTTGGTTTGAAAGGGAAGCAGCATGGAGGAAAGGTTTGTTGGGAGAAAGGGCTCTGGAGGTGGGTCCCACTGGGATCCGTGCAAGGATTTGTGCTGTTCAGGGAGGACTGAGAAGGCAAAGCTGGATGATGCCACAACACTAATCAGAGTGGTCAAGATTAAAATGGGCTGTGCAGAGGTGCAGGAGGAGCTCATTATTCTCAGTGTCTGGAGGTTAAAAAAGCAGATGCAGTTCATTGTTGTTAAGGGCAAGGTAATGAATACAGGGAAGAGCAACTCCAGCTGTACACATACAATAATGGGCTCTAAATTAGCTATTACCATGTAGGAAGATCTCAGAGTGACTCTGGATAGTCCTTCAAAAGCATCAGCACGAGGTTCTATAGAGGTCAAAGAGGCAACAAGAGCATAATGAGTTATTAGGAAAGGAACAGGTAGTGAAACAAACACGTATTATACTAGGGCAGTAATCTTGGAGGCCTACATCATGTGCTGATTGCAGTTCCCATCCACTTCATCTGAGAAGGAAGGTAGTGTTAGAAAGGAGAGTAGAGTGGGAAGAGCAGGGACGTGGAACAGCTTCTTGCAGGAAGGGAGATAGCAGAGCACGACTCGGAGGCTTGTCAGATGTCACATGAGAGTATGACACAGATTTCTAAAGTCATGAACAGCACAGGCTGTTCTCTTGTCACTGTAGTTCAAACCATGTGAAGGATGGGGAATCCAGTGACTGTGTCAGGCGGCAGACTCAAAGCAAGGAGAGGGAAGTGCTTTTTCATCCAGCAGATAATTAAACTATGGAGCTCACTGACCAGGATGTTGTGGGTATTCATCCTAAGGGATAAATGAATTCAAAAAGCAATTAGATAACTTCCTGGACAAAGATCTCTCTAAAGGCTATTAACCACTGTGATGTAAATACAACTCTGTAAGCACTTGCCCTGCTTCTCATTCTCCTTCCCAAGCACTTGCTGCAGACATCAGTCAGAGACAGGAGTCTGAGTCCCATGGGTCTTTGGTCAGATGCATTATGGCCACCTTTACTCACTGCCTCCATGGCTGCTAATGAACATCCCTGTGGAGAGTAAGGCTGCCTTCTTCCCCCATTTTCCAATGAGGAAATGGAGGGACGGAGCAGGTGGAGGCTCTCATGTGGGATCTCAGAGGGATCCCATGAGAGAAGTCCAGGTGCCCTGTGTTACCTGATTTATCTTTGACACCTGCATGATAAAAAATGGCCATAGCATCCTTTCTTCTACATTCCCTTAAAGATTGTCTGTTCACAGAGAAGCAGCTGAAGAAATTCTTTCTTTGCTACAGCCTTTACTTCCTGCAGCCAGGGCAGCTCTAATGGCAAATCTTCTTATTCACATGCTGATTCTCTCCAATTTAAGCAGAGCTTACAGTATGAAAATGAAACCAGCAATGACTCGCAAGGGTTGTGCATCAATCTAATGAGTATCAGATGGGTTGATCTCCCTCCCCCAGAGCTTCTCCCAGCTCAGACAATTTATGTGGCTGAATATGTTTGTTCTGATCAATTACCATTTTGCAGACACAAATACAAATACGAAGGGAAGATTAAGCTCTTGCTCCAAAGCCCACTAAAGTCAGCAGAAAGGCTCTTTATGTTCACAAGAAGACTTTGGCTGTGGTTGAAAGGATAAAACTTTTTATCAGCCTCAGTGAACAAAGTGCCTTGTTAGTCTGTGACAATTTTGACACAACCCAGAATTATTTACCAGCTGCTATATCTTTGTTCTCACCTCTCCTAATGGGAGGATTAACACATTGTTGTGGAAGGCATGTGTTCAGCAGCATCTGATTGGACAGTGTTGTCTTTCACTTAGTTCACCAGTTGATAAGAAACATGCAACAGAAGTGAAGATGCTATTTGCAGTTATTTTGCTGTCCAGAAACTTGCCTGTGGGCCTGAAGAGCAGGAGTAGCTATCTGGCCCGTTGCTGAGCAGAACCATTTCACCACTGGGATTCAAGACATTCTTCAGTCTTCAGGGTAATTAACCTGAACATTCATTAAATTAGTGCTACTGGAGACATCAAGAAGGTGAGATAATTGTAACAGCACTCAACATTCCTTTGTGCCATTATCTCCTACACAAGAACAGAAAACGCGAGGTCAAAATTTGTTCAGAGCTTAAGGTGGATAGAGGGCTATTCAGAAGTGCCCAAGAGCTGGGCACTTATTTTCTCTGTCTTCAGCCCAGTAAAAATCAGGCTCCTGATTCAAATGGGGTGCTGCTATAATTAAGTAGAAAGGATGATTTATCCCTCTTTTTGATGGACATGTAAGTTAAATAGCTGAAGTTGAGAGAAGTGGCACCTCCTCTTGCACACACGGCACAGACCATCTCAGTCCACATGGAAAGGTGTCTGAATTAGGATTTGGGTTTTAAAGTGTGTGGATTAGAGAAGTGGATTTGCACTGCCTAATTCTTTCTCTGGGAAGCTTTTAAATCACTCTTCACAGCTGACAGCTCTCCCTTTCCTCACCAACTGGGTGAAGAACAAAGCAAACACAGCTAAGAAGGAAAACGGGAAATCATCTCATTTGAAAGGAAAACTGCATGATCAATAGCTTTGAATAGGGATTCCTGGCTCTGGCTCCTGGTTCTGCCACTGCCTTTTGCAAATCCCATCCCTTCTCTGCCTCTATAAAGTGTGATATTTTCCCCTAGGGATACTCACAAGGTGTCAGGAATAAAGGGGTATCTAAGTGCCCTGGGAGAAAGATCCATTGCAAGTGTGGATGCCCTCCAAAACTGGCAGTGTGAGATAGATCCATTCTGCAGATGGTGGAAGCACTGCTGTGCAGATGACAAAGCTCTGGCACAGGGAGCACAGAGCTGTGGGGTCTCCTCCTTGGGGATCTTCCAAAGCCCCTGGCTGTGGTGCCTGGCACCCCGATCTGGGTGGCCCAGCTGGTGGCAGGGAGGGACCAGAGGGATCCAGAGGTGCATCCAGCCCCAACCATTTGGTGATTCTGTCATCCTGGGGTTCCGTGTGCAGGGGCTCTGCCAGTACTCACACCTCTCATACTAAGAGATACCAACATGGTGCACCCCAACGTGTCACTGATGAGAGCTCTCCAGCCACAGCTGTGTCACACTCACTCTTCTGTCTTCATTCATCTTCCTGTAGGAGGCTCAAAGTGCCTTCCTTTTTCTACCATATAAGTTTGGCCTGTTCCTACCCTGAGGGAATTAGCAGTAACGTTCCCAGTAATTTAATTGCTCACACAGCTTAGAAGATGCTCATTCATTCAAACAGGATGGCGTCACCCAGAGCACTGATAATGCTTGGGTCCAGGGTCACTGTAGGGTCACTGTGAATCACACCAGTTCTTGGCCAAAACAGAGTTGAGAAACACCTTTAGATTCTGACTTTGCGAAGGGCCCGACGCCGCTGTTTGAGGTACAGAAACATAGCTGTAAGAACAGCACTTCAAAGCAAACAGTGTTGGATGCTGAAGAAACATGTGCTCTGCCTTTATCTTTGCTTTTTTCCTCTCCTGTTCACATGTTGAATTAAAAAAAAAAAAAAAAAAAAAAAAAGGAAGATAAATGCATGATGAGCCTTGATCATCCATTTGATAAAATGAGTAGGAATTCTGCCACAAACTTTAGTTAGTGCTGATGAGTTGCGTAGAATCATGGAGTCGTAGAATCAAGAAGGCTGGAATAGACTTCTAGGGTCACCTAATCCAATCATCAACCCATCACCATGATGCCCACTGAGGGACCACGTCCCTCAGTGCCACACCTACTGTAGGGAACCTGCTTTAGCAGGAGATTGGACTTGATTTCTTGAAGGCCCTTTCAATTCCCACTGTTCTGTGATTCTGATTTCCATGGTTCTTGGCCACCTCCAGGGACAGTGACTCCACCACCCTCCTGGGCAGCTTGTGCCAATACTTGATCTCACTGTTTCTGAGAATAATTTTTTCCAATATCCAGCGTAATATTGCCCTATTGCACTGGGCAATACTGCCAATTCTCTATTAATTGATACAGATTAGCTTACTGTAGCTGCTGTGGCAAGGGAGTCCATACATGGGTGTTAGAGATAATTCTCAAACTAGGGAACAAACTTGGAAGGGCAACATTCCCTAGGAAAGTTGGCTGTCTTGGGAAACATGTTTGCATTGAATTTCTTATTGGCCACACACAAAGTACTGGAGACAGGATAGAAAAAATATTTGAACCCACTGTAGAATGAAACTACTTTATGTAGAGCATGGCTGTACAGTACATAATTGTCAAGAGGAGTGTTGTATGTGGCTGGGTACATTTTGTGCTGGTTTCTCTTCCCTATTAGGTTGCATTCAGAGGCCACATTCATAGGGTATTCCTCTTATAGGGTGGCTGCAAAGGGCATTTGAGATCTTGTAAATGCTACAAGGAATCTCAGATCTAAGCTGTGATATTTTGAGTCCCTCTTCCCCCAAGTCCTCATGAGTTTGGAATGGAGTTTGATTTTCCCAATCAGCGTCTAAGATGCAGATGTTCTGACAGACCTGAGGTTTGCTTCTGCTCTAATGCCTTTCTTATGCTGTAGGTGGACAGTGGGGGACCCCTGGTTTGCAGCTACTGGAACACCATGAAGTGGTTTCAGGTCGGCGTCATCAGCTGGGGAGACAATTGTGCAGCAAGGCCATATTATCAGTTCTACACTTCTGTCTATAACTACTATGAGTGGATCAAGACTGAGACAGCCATGACGGGGAAACCTTTCTTAATCGAAGGCATAGCTAAACATGTTGTGAGTACCACAGAGGTTCATTCTGAGGCCAAAGCTCAGCTGGTGTTTCTTGAGTCTGCTGTCCTTTTATTTGCTTCTCAAGTGGCAATTGGATTATTCTAGAGCAATTTTTTCAAAACATAATAAAAGTCAGAATGTCTGTCTTCTTCTTTTGCTTCAGAACCATAAAGTTGTATCTCAGGTCAGCATGCTCCATCTCACTGAGGTGGATACAGACAGCCAAGTGTGTTCAGACTAGAGAGCGATATAGGGCTGGAGACTTGAAAGGAGAGAGCAAGGATCCAGATTTTCCAGACTAAGAGGGTTACATCTGGCTCAATCGTTTGCTAACTCAGAAGAAATGTCAAGATGCAGCACCTCAAGGAGAGCTGAAACCTTAAGAAAGATCTTAGCTCACTCAGTTGCAAATTAGTTTAGCTACGACATAACTCTGGGTTAATATATCCTACAGCTAACTATCTGTGCATAGGATCATAGAATATCTTGAGTTGGAAGGGACCCATAAAGCTCATTGAGTCTGCTCCACTCAGCACCACCCAAAAATCAAACCATGTGGCTGAGAGGGCTAATATGTCTTCTGTCTTCAAGTTGGACCAAACTAAGACTTCCCGATCAGGGTGGTGTGTTGAGCTGCTGGGAAGTGACTATGTGTCAAACTCATCTATATCTCCTTAAGCTAGAAAAAGGACAAGAAAGCCATTGGGCAGTGTTGGAAGCTGTAGCTTCATCTAACTGGTTGGTCCTATTGCTATGGGTTGCAAACGGTACCTTTGTGTTTGTGTTTCTAAAGACACTGGAGAAAGGATCTGGCTAGCTGGAAGGAACTGCTCCTAAGTGTCCAAAAAGTGCTGTCTTCAGAAGTCCCTTGTTTTAGTAATAAATCAAAATGCATCCCTTACTACTACTACTACTACTACTACTACTACTACTACTACTACTAATAATAATAATAATAAAATCAAAAGGAAATTGCCTTCTTTTTTTCTCTGCTAGAGGCCTGTTACATGCATTTCTGGGATGTCTGCTTCCTAGTTTGAACTGGGACTGAGCTGGTACTTCATGGAATGCTGCCCTACACTCCTCAGGAACCATATGTGTTGCAAAACTCTTCCTGCTTTTCACAAGGAGATTGCTCTTCTTAAAAGGGGAAGAAGGCAAGCAGCAAGGTCTCCTTCATGTCCCACCTTTGCAACAGCATAAAAGCACCTGCAATTTGCAGCAGTGATAAAACTCAGTGACTGTGCAATGGGACAGAACCTCACAAATTGGTTTTAATTACCTTGATATTTTGTGGCTAGCTGATGGAGAAGGCTTGTAAATGAGAATTTATTCATCTACCTTAAGCTAATGCAAACCCATCTTGGCATAAAAGTCAGACTTCATTTTCTGTGTTATCTGAGCAGAAAATAATGCTTAATTATTATTAGTTCTGAGTAATGCTTATGAAAATTGTTGCACATTAATTTCACATGGCTGACTGGCTAATGGATGCATAAGGGTCTTGTAACCCTTTGCAAAAAGACTAATAAAAGCTAAAAACAAGGAGAATATATTACTGTAGCAGCTATTAGTAGTAGACGCTGTCTGCTGGCATTAATACCTATATTTATTTTCCTTTCTATTAATAATATATCAACAGATTCTAGAAGCTATGGCAGAGGCTGGACATTAGGAAACGTTTTCTAATGCTGTAATCTATTTGACTACAGAACTGTTTCCCCCAAAGGAAACGAGAGATGTCCTACTGCTTGAATTGTGTTAATGTAGGGGTTGCATGAAGCACTCTTGTCTGCAGCACAAGGCATGAGAAAAGCCTGCTCTAAGAGGGATCTGCAGAAAGACTCAGTTAGCCTTTTCCCCAGCAGTATTTGCAAAGTAATAGCGGTCTGTGTAAATGAGGGCAAGGCTCCTGAGTGATTACAGCTGCTCACTTACTGGGTAGCCTTAGGGAAAGTCAGTATATGCCACGTGCCTCAGTTTCCCTGTCTGTGAATTGAGTTAATGACATCGATTCACTTGGCTTCACTTCAGGAAAGCACATTCTATGGGCAAAGACCAGCTACAGAGCTGCGAAGTCACAAACAGCAGAAGCTTTTCCTCCCTATTTAAATCATCAGGGAATTCATTCAACTAAATTAATCTTGGCCCTTACACACACTGCTCAATAATTAGGGCGAGCAACAAAATGTTTGGCTAATATTTCTATGCCATTAGTAGGCCTGATGAAAACTTGTAGAAATGCCTATTTCTCTGCAAGGTGTTTGTGTTTTGAGAGAGCACACCACTTTCATCACGATTTTGATGGGAGTGTGGTGAAGTCACACAAGATCAGAATGCAGTTTGTCTTTGTCATTAACGCTGCAGTGTGACCCAATCATTTTTAAGCCTCATAGTACTTCTGTGCTGTTTCATATACTATAGAATTCTGCCCTTATGGGTTTAGATAATCTCAGTGGAAACTTTCTAAGCACAACTATCTGAGCTTTTATATTTCGGGCTATCGTTTGGGATGTTAATTTCTTATCTTAATTTGCAGCTTGTTTCCTGTTACCCTCTTCCTCACATCTAGATGGGCTAATGGAGAACACAGATCTACAGGCAGAGCAAAAGAAATGTTCCTTGTGAAGAGAGACCTCCTCTCTGTGAAGGTGATAAGAGCAAAGGCACCTCCCACAAACATCAGTGGCAGCAATTTAAAAGCCAATATAACAACAACAACAAAAATTTGGCTTAGTTCTGTAGGATTGAAGGCCTCCATATATATTCATGTGTGTTAGGGTGTAGTTGAGTGAAAAAGCATCATGGATATGGCAAAAGTCATTGGTCAGCTCTTCCATTTGTGACTTCTACTGGTAATGCAGTATAGTAGATCTGCAAACTTCAGAACACAGAGGAGCAGCATCAGTTCACACATTGACCATAACTTGCTAAGTAGCCTCTGGACAAGGCTTTTTTCAAACTAAAAGCTCAGTTTACCTGTCTGTAAACATGGGAATAATTTAAAAAGCCAGGAATGTCTCTTGAAATGCACCATTTGTATATTGATTAATCTCTTTTATTAACTAAACTGAAGATATGGGACAGAAAATACGAGTGAGCAGAACTGAACTTCTTGATATGTTCAACAACTGCAGAAGAAAAAAATGGTGTTAGACTACAAACTTATTTTAAGTATGTGAATTGAGGTCTGGAGGACAGCTTGGCTTTAGGATGAATACAGATGGAAGCTGACAGCCCTTGGCTTACTTAATGAAGCCACTGACATCCCCAAATACACTCCAAAAATATAACTTTGCCTTTCACTGCCATGTGTGAATGTTCAAGCATAATGGACCTACGTCCGTCCTTTGAATGATGACTGTGCTTTCTCACCCTGATGAAACATATCTTCTGCCTGCCTGGCATTTTTACTCTTTGAGCAATTCATTGCCAGGTAAATCCCCCCGGTTTTGGCTTCCCATGACAGTGCAGTCACACTGCTGACCATTGGTGGCTTGGCTATGCCGTGTTTGAGCTGCCCATGCACCTCAAAGAGCACCACCTTGGCCAAATCTGGGGAGTTCACACTCCTTTGCTGTTCTGCCATTGGTGTGCACAACTCCCCACGTTTATCACAGAATCAGAGAACCAACACTGGAAAGACCACTAAGATCAACTGGTCCAAGCATCAACCCATGCCTTACAAAATGAACCAGCCAGCAGCTGGTTTCACTGCGTTCTATACTATCATGCAAAAACCTCTGAGTATTTCCGACTGTCTGTGTTGAAAGTATCTGCCTTCCATGTTCTTCTCTTAGAGGTGTTTTGTGTGGTAACGCTTTTTATATTCACAACCAGTTGCTTTCTGAGTGTCTCATCATGACTCATTGCTTCAAGGGCTTTTTAATATGCAATACACTTCGTTCCCGCAGCCCAGACCACTAAATGATTTAGTGTGTGACTGCAGTGGAGAGCTCTGCTTTTGACTCTTTTGCTAGGAAAGGTGAGTTTCAAGGCACCACGGGAAAGTAAAAGCTCCTCTTCCTCAAGGCTTATGAATTCATGATATGTATTGACACTGAATCTGAAGACATTAGTCATGAAGTAACCAACTCCAGGCCTAACTCGCCTGCCTCCAAATTAGGGAATGAGGAAGAAAGGATGGTGTAATGGGTTATGCACTGAATGCAGGCATGTGGGTATGAATTCATCTATGTAGCAGCCCTGTGAGATCCTAGAGGATACACAGAGGGTTGCATGTGAAGAGGTCAAAGTCTTGAAACTTGAGGCAATCCATTGTGAGCCATCTGAAATTCCTTTGAAGAACTATCATTTGGAGAAGAGAGATTTGGTATCGTGATAGAAGAGAATTTGGACTTGTGCTTTGAGTGCATTCTGCCTATAGATGGGGATGCATTTTCTAACCACCGTTGTGAAGAGTGTTGCTTCAACCCAAGTTTCTGAGGCATTCAGGAAGAAGAAAACTGAGAGCTTTCACTGAAAAAGGGTCATCTAAAGCAAAAATTTGGGGAGCAGCCTTGTTCTGAACAGAATCATCAGAAGGTCCAAGCTAAAAATAAGAGCTGAACTGTTGACCATGAGCACGAATTTACAAACAGCTCCTGAAACAGCATGATGGTCTGGTGGTCTGCACATTCCTTTATTTCAAGGCACCCTAATAATTTGCCTTGATTTACAACTTCCCGGGCAGAGTCTCAAGCTAAAAGTGACACTATGCAGAGCAGAGGCCTTTGTTAGGACAGGAAGGGACCCCAAGAGGGATGCAGCAACTTGAAGGCACTGGGGAAGTGGTAAGAAACCCCCCCAGCCATTGGAGTGTCACTGCCCCAGACACGCTCACAACAAGCTCCAAGGAGGTGAAGTGTGAAGCTGAAGGTGGTTGTGTAGGGGAGCGTGAAGAATCACAAAGTGTTTATTTGAGGCAGGCACAGTTGCAACAAGAGAGTTATTTTGCGCATGAGCAAGCATCTGTTGCTCTGTTTGCACGACTGGTAACGGCAGAATGAAGCTATTCGTGCAGAATGGAGCCTCCCAGCAAATGCATGTTATCACATCCCAGGTGCCTGGGGTGTGGGTTCAGGGTGTGCTGCCACTTGTAAGTTTACCCGCTTCCAATGCCCGACGTTTGAACCTGCTTCCCTGAGGAACCTGGCAGAAGGGAACATAATTCACTCCAGAATCCCCTGCATACAGATGTATGATCTTTCAGTGTCCTTTGTTGGCTGTTCTTCTAAGTGCCACAAGGACCTTCATACTGGGTCTGATATGGGATGGAGCTGGTTTTCTTCATTGCAGCTTGTCTGGTGTTCTGTCTTGGATTTGTGATCAAAACTATGTTAGTAACATAGTTGATGTTTTAGCTGATGTTTTAACTGTTGCTAAACTCTGCTTGCACAGCATCATGGCTTCCTCTGCTTCTCATGCTTTTCAGTGAGCAGGCGGGGGGTGCACAAGGAGCTGGGAGGGGACACAGCCAGGATAGCAGACCCTAACAGACCAAAGAGATATTTCGTACCATATGATGTTCTACTCAGCATTAAAAGACAGCGGTAGAAAGAGAAAAGGGCCACATCCAGGATTATGACATTTGTCTTCATAACCATTTCACATGATGGAATCCTGCTTTCCTGAAAATGATTGAACATGCACCTGCTGAAGAGAAGTGATGAATGAATTCCTTACTTTGCTTTGCTCACATGCACCACTTTGCTTCACTTGTTCAGCTGTCTTAGTCTCAACCTTTGGATCTTCCTTTTTCCTTTCTGGTTATTTCCCCCATCCAGTCTGGGGCTGTCTAACCAGATTAGCCCCCAACACACTGCCAAGGTGCTGGTGCTTTGTAAATGGCCACCAAATTTGACATTACACCAGGTCTTTCACT